GATAGCCCATTTGAGCCTATAAATCTTTTCTTTGGCATCCACATTACAAACCAATTCCCTTTTTTTTTCTTAATTAGATCTTTTGAACTTTTACCTCCGAAAGCACTTAAGTCGCTAGAAGAGTAAGGTGAGAGTTGAGGTAGCATTTGAGTGGAACCACAGAAAGGCCAAAAGGTACACGTATGTTTTGAATGATCATTAGCCAGGCAACCCAAATATGGAGAGTGTTGAAAAAAAATGAAAAAAATAGAAAATACACCTCCTATTCCTCTTAATCTGAGCTAGTGAATGCATAGTTGTGCTTAAAGAAGAAGGGCCAAATTGTATATGATTTCGTGGTATTGCTTGAATTGGTCATGAAGAGTATGTATTTGAAAGTTAAGTGTAGTGTATTAAAATACTTAGGAGGGTTAGTCACTATACCCAAATATATCTTACCCATCCCTTAGCCTACTGATGATAGGCTATAATTACGTATTTTAATCACTTACTACACTATAATTTACTGTACTTTAGTTGAGTTTGAGCTTTAATCGCTAGTGTTTTGTACTAATTGGGTGTTTTATGCCTTGTAGGAGTGATTTCGAGCTATGTAGATGGTATGGAATGAATTCAAGTGATTTGGATCTTTTAAGTTTGAGTAACGTTTCGACTAGAACTCCATTTCGACTCCACAATATATGGTTGGAAAGCTAATTCAAAGAGTTACAACTTTCATGTTTTACGTGTTTTAAAATTCCCAACAGAACAGGGAGAAACGTGCGCGGCAAGTGCGCGGCCGCTCACTAACCGCGCATATGGGGCAGAAAGTGTGAAAAGTGTGCGGCCAAGTGCGCACGTCCTGTCCAGGAAAAATGTCCTTTATCACGTAGGAAAAGGTATAATTGTTTGGGCCCGACCCTACTTGGTATATATACATGAAAAATAGTATTTTGAGGACTGAGACACTGCTTTAGGGTAAGACAAGACCCAAGGAGGCAAGAATACGCTAGGATCAAGGAGGAAGATTTAATAACGAGTTTTTCCCCTTCTTCTTCATTCTTTTCATTGTTGGTTATGACTATTAGTATTGTAGTCTTACATACTATTATGAGTAACTAATTAATTATCTAAAGTTTTGATAGAACCTCTTGGAGGATGAATTCTTGTTATATTTTAATATAATTTAACCTTTGAATTTATCTATTTGTCAACTACGTGCTTATTTCAGTTGATTGAATGGCCATCGATTGACTGTGCCTATCTATTATGTGTTTCTTGAGAAAGGATACATATTTAGGTGGTTGTTGAACAATGTCACTCCTAATGTATATGAGAAATCAATAAAGCGGGTTTAAAGGTAGGTTTAGAAATAACAAAGCCTTGACGTGGCCATAGTGAGCGGCTTGATAAAGCCAACTAGCGTAGTTCGAGAGAATATGCCTAGTAAATTATTGTAGTTACTTGAGAGAGAATTACGGTACCTAAAGTGCTCACGGTCAGTAGAGAATACTTAGGAGAAATTATACAAGGCATATCGAGAAGGATTCCGACAATTGGGAAAATCATAACTCTAGATCTCCTGAATTTAGTCTTTAACCCTTAGTATCTTTAGTTGTTAATTTACTGCTTTAGTTTATTAGTAAATTAGTTAGCTATAAGAATCTTAATATTTATAACTTAGGAATTGTTCAAGTTTGTCTTCTTGGTGATAGTGAACAGTTGTAGTTAAACCTTAGTTCTCTGTGGGATTCGACTCCGGACTTGTAAATTGGATTATATTTGCAACGACCGGTTAGTCCTTTTTATAAGGCATTGTTGGGCGTGATCACCTACATTTCAACCTGGAAAGACCTAATTGATCCTAGACTTCACAAGCTTAAATTAGTAGAGGCATACACTACGGGCAAGCCTATGGAACAACCTCGGGATGCACATGAATATCTTTGAGAGAGTGAGCGAATTCTTTTCGATTTGTAAGTCCTTAAATTATACTTGAATGCATATTTAAGTGTGTGGACTAATTTCTCTCTTTGTTTGTGTTAAGGGCACATGATTTACAAAGGATTGGTAAAGTCCAGGTATTTTGAGTTGACACAATAAGTGAGTCATAGTAAGGAATGTATTAGAGTCATCTCTTGAGGGTAGGATGTTAGAAGAAGTCGCACAAATATTTTAAATAGTCTTGGCATGTATCTACTTTTGAAGAAAGATGTCAATAGTTCCTATGTTAAGTTCTAAGTGTTGGTATAAGCCATTGTCATTGGTATGATGCTTGAGTATATTTCAAAAATTTGTTTCTTGCCATTGTGCTTAATTTTGAAAGTTACTCGAGGACGAGCAAGAGTTTAAGTGTGGGGTATTGATAAACGGCCAAAAATGCATATTTTTTGGTGTACTTTCATCTCATAACTTGTGTGGTTACGGTAGGTTACATGAGTTTTTATAGTGAATTATGCTCATTACATGCATTCTTATGTGTAGGAGCAAGTTGGACGAAAAATGAGCAAAAGAAGTTGATTCGGGACCAAAAGACAAAAGAAGAACTTTGCTCGTTCATTCTCGCGTGCACACGAGAGAGTGAACGAGCTAGCCAAGGAAAAGCTTGAGAAAAAAATAACGGATTATGGCAAAAAGGCATGGAAGTGCACGAAAGGCCTAGAAGGAAAAGAAAAAGAGAAGCACTACGCTCGTTCACTCTCACGTGCGCACGAGAGAGTGAACAAGCTAACCTAAAAGGGATGTTCCAAAGTGGGCTTGTATTATTTCGCCCCATGCAAACCCTATCACATATAAATAGTCCTTAAATACACTTTTGAAGGGAGGGTTTTCGTACGTTTTTAGAGAGGATTATCGACTGAAGGAGGCAAGGCGGAGAATTCTTCTACGAGTTTTCACTTCATTCTTCATATTTTCATTATTGGTTATGAATTCAAGTATTGTAGTTTTGCATACTATTATGAATAACTAATTTGTTATCTAGAATTTTTATGGAACCTTTTGTAGGATGAATTCTTACTACGTATTTATATAATTAAGCCGTTGGATTTCTCTACTTGTTCAACTACGTGTTTATTGTTGTTGATTGAATGGCCATCAATTGATTGTGCCTATTTAGTATGTATTGCTTGGAAAATGATACATATTTAGGTAGTTGTTGAACAACATCACTCCCAACGTATATGATGAATCAATACGGAAGGTTTAAAGGTGGGATTAGGAATAACGAAACCTTGGTGCGATCTTAGTGAGTGGTGAATTAGTGACAGCTAACGTAGTTCGGAAGAATATGTCTAGTAAATTGTTGTAATTGCTCGGAAGAGAATTACGACACCCAAAGTACTCACGATCGGTAGAGAATACTTAGGCGAAATTATAGAAAACGTAGCGGAGGAGAATTCCGACAATTGGAAAAATCATAACTCTAGATCTCCTTAGTCTTGTTGGTTAATAATTTTACTACTTTTTGTATCTGTTAATTACTTAGTTTAAAATAAAAATTACAATCTTTATAACTAGGAAATTATTTGAACTTGTATTTCTTAACAGTACTGAAGAATTGTAGCCAAGCCTTAGTTCTCTGTGGCATTCGACTCCGGACTTTTAGACTGGATTATATTTGCAGCGACCGCTTATCCTTTTTAGGACTAGAGTTGAACGTGATCAGTTTTCAAATATATAATTTTTATTTCAAAAAGTTTAAAGATTCTATGTCCGAATTTACGATCAAAATCAAAAAGTTTGATTCTCGAAATTCAAGCTCCGCCCCATAAATTGGGACAAGAGGAAGTATATTTCAATTGTTCATCAAATAGGTAAATCTTTTTCATGTTGTGTTGATAAGTATTACTGACCAAATATATGCTTTTAACCAATAAATCCTCGGGTGATGGAGCCAAACTTCAGGGTGATTCTACGCCAATGGAATTCTCACTCGGGATCTTCAAGGCTTTTCAAATATTACTGACCAAAATATGCTTGCCGAAAATATTTATTCACCTGACTATTTCTGCTTGTCGACTTGTCGATAAAAGTGTTAGAAAAACAAAACTATTCTTTTAGCCTACGTACTTGTGTTTGGGCTTACACCAATTTTTCTATATTAGCATTGAGTCTAACATTACAGAGGATGTCCTTCACAAGGATAGATTGTGACTCTCTTGATTGATCATTGTGCTCAAGAAAAATTTAATATATTGATTATATTTTTCCAACTTCTTAGTTATTGCAATCTTAAGATTAGGTAAGTAATTGCAACTCATAGCAAGCACTCCTAAACATTCATCTGATTCATTAGCAACAAACTTACTTACACTTTTGGCTACTTCTTAGATTGGCTCAAAATACTCCACTATCTTTGAGTTTGAGATCAGACTCATCCATATTCTTTTACTCTGAGCACTAATAGTCCAGAATTTTTGTTAAGGTTTTCCTACAAAACCCATTTAGAGTCAGAACCCAATCATAAAATTTTTGGATGCAGCAGCGATTTTGGATGTTCTTTTTTGTGACTTCAACTTATTAGAAGTTGGAATCGATTCCAGTTACCAAAACTTATTTATCATCAAATTCAATTGCTAGGAGCATAAACTTCCGTTTTATCTCCTTTGAATAACTGCTTTTCAATTTTGGAATTCTACATATGGGTATTATGCAGAATCCAAATGTCATTCATCTCATATACCAATGTATGTATGCAAAATTTTCGGAAACAAAAGTTGCATACCATCTGTTTGATACAATGCCGAAGAGAGAAACCGTCTCCTGGTATCCCATGATAAATTGTTATTATCTAAAGGGGTTACAAATATATTTCAAGTCCTTAAAATACGTCTACTCCTTTGCACGAGTTATCTTCGTTGCCTCTTTTTCTAGTTCATAGTTCATACTTCCTCTGCTTCAATTTAAATTTAAATGATACATTATTTTTATTAGTTCTTTTCAAAAAGAATAATATATTTTTATATTTGAAACAATTTAACTTTAAGTTTTTTATTTTATCCACTTTATCTTTAACGAAAAACTTTTATAGATACACAAAAGCTTTTAGGATCATATATTTCAACATTATATTTTTTTTTTTTAATTCCCTTATCTAAGTCGAAGGGGAGGGAATATAAAATTAAGGTTTGTGGTGTAACTAGCCTTTACGATAGGCCACGTGGGGCTGCTCTTGTGTAGTTAACAAAAGTGTGTTTGCCTCTTTTGTCAATCTATCAAGAAATGCAATATTTAGCTGCGCAAAGTACTACACAAGAGCAGAAAAATAGAATGATTTACCAGATTTACCCTTAATTAGCAAGCAGGTATGTCAACGAAGCTTCACTTGCTTTACCACCTATAGTAGAAGACAGAATTAATAGAAAAAGACTGGCCTTTGGACAGTTTCGTGACTGCTCTTGAAAAAGACCACTCTAATCATCATCTTATATTCTTATATTAATTGGGCAAAAGTACAGTTTTCTGATTTCTAACCCTCTCTTTCAGCATCAAAGTGCATTCATTCAGAGCAGAAATTTCGATTTTGCAGGCTAGAATTTATTGGTCTTAATCTGCAGTAGTACTTCTTCCCAATTAAAGCCAGGTAATATATTTGAGGCTTAAAACTCTTACTAATACTCTCCTGCTTTTTCTGCTCTCAATGAAGTAAAAGAGAACACATTGATCTAACCGTAGCTGGGCTTCTTTTCAGGTTTCAAGAACAGTCATAGTTCACCTTTCAGTTTCATTTCTTCTTTATTTGGGAGATCTGGTTTTATGATTTCTCACATCCTCTATTTAACAACAAAATCTAGGTAAGCATTTGATGAGGCTTGGAACTCTTTATTAACTGTTGCTATTCTCTAAATTGATGATTTGTTTGATCTAGGAATCTAATTGATAGAGATGGCTTATGTTGCTGTGATTTCTCTTATACGAACTTTGGAGCAACTCGTTCAGCGAAAGCCACATTTGGTAAGTGATGAAACAAGAACATTGATGGACTCTCTCCTTGATAGTCTTGAATATTTTCAAAACTTTGTTGAGAACACTAGCAAGGGAAGTAAAGATTGTGGAAAGGTTGAAGAATTGGAGAGATTAATTAGAAAAGCGGTGGAAGAAGCAGAAGATGTGATTGAACTAAAGATATATGAAACAATAAAAAGAGACGCATTATCCAAGATTTTATTAAGAACACTTGATGCACTAAAGAGGGAGGTGATGGGATGCAGGTTTGGTAAAAATAATGTCCTTAATGAAACAATGGAAAAAAAGGCATTACGCAAAACCTTGTCTCGACTTATAGAAAAGATTGATGTTGTGAAGAGGAATGTGATGGAAAGTAATTTTGGTACAAATGAACTTCAAGGCTATGGTGATCCTACAAATGAGGAACTGCAAACACGTGATTCCTTGCTTGGTCATTCATCTAGACAAGTTGCAAATCTGAATCTAGAAAATGTTGTTGTAGGTCTTGAGGACGATTTGTTGAAAATTAAGAGAAGATTAACCGGGCCCCCTTCAACCCGAGAAATTGTGTCTATTTTAGGAATGGGTGGTATCGGCAAGACGACACTTGCTAAAAAAGCATACGATGATCCTGAAATCAGGCATCGTTTTGACATCCATATTTGGGTGACAGTATCTCAAGAATATCGGGTTAGAGTTTTGTTGTTGGGTGTTGTTTCTTTTCTTTCTCAGCTGACAAATAAGATAAAAACATCGACTGATGATGAATTGATGGAAGCGATATACAAAAAGTTAAAGGGTCGGAGGTATCTTGTTGTCATGGACGATATCTGGAGTAGTGAAGTCTGGGAACTTATGACAAGAATTTTTCCAGACGACAACTGTGGGAGTCGAATTATTTTGACTAGTAGGCTTAAAGATCTCGCTATGCAAGCTGACCCTAACAGCACTCCTCATGAGATGAGACTCTTCAATTCAGATGAAAGTTGGAAGTTACTTAATGAAAAGGTGTTTGGGGTAGAACATGTTTGTCCTCCTGAATTAGAGGTTCTCGGGAGGCAAGTAGCACAAAAATGCCAAGGACTACCTTTAGCTATTCTAGTGGTTGCAGGGCATCTCTCTAAAATTGCTAGAACGCGAGAAAGTTGGATAGAAGTTGCCAAAAGTGTAAGTAAGGTTGTTGCTAATGAATCAGATATATGTCTAGGAGTGCTAGCTATGAGTTACAATTACTTACCTAATCATCTTAAACCATGTTTCCTTTATATGGGAGTTTTCCGAGAAGATAGTGAGGTTAACATTGAGACATTGATCAACTTATGGGTTTCTGAGGGTTTTCTATTGGAAGAATTTGTGGGAAAAGATTGTTTGGAGGATCTTGTTAGTAGGAATCTGATAATGGTTAGAAAGCGGAGATTTAATGGCGAGGGGAAAACCTGTGGTGTCCATGATCTGATTCGTGACTTGATTTTAAGAGAAGCTGAGAAGGAGAAACTCCTGCAAGTTATTCCTTCGGCAAGGAAGCTTCGTGTTCGTCGCTATAGTATCCATTCATATGCTTATGGCGCTGCTTTCCGGGACTCATCATTCACTCGAACAGTGCACTTCTTCCATGGATTAAGTCGATTTCCTCTTTTGGAGCGCTTCAAACTGCTAAGAGTGTTGGCAATCCATAATTGTTGCTTTCAAAATTTTCCAGTTGTGATAACAAATTTAGTACATCTCAGATACCTTGAATTATACTGTGAAGATAATATTCACAGGTTAGTGTCTGAGCTTTATAATCTGCAGACCTTGATTTTTCATCACCAACGATTATATACGTCAAGAGTACCTGAGACAATTTGGCAAATAGAACATTTAAGGCATCTTCACGTGACTGACTTCTTTTCTTTCCCTATTACGTCAAGAGAGGTAAAGCCTGGTTTCAAGCTACAAAATCTGGAGCGACTTTCTTGTCTATGTTTGTCCAGCTGTACTTCTGAATTGTTTTCTGCTATTCCAAATCTTAAGAGGTTGAAAGTTCACGGAGATTGGGAGGAATGCGAGGGAAGGAAGATGTCCCAGTACCTAAATAGCCTTTCCTGCTTAAAAGAACTTGAAATGTTGAAGTTCAATGGCGACGGACTACAACTTCCCCGGATCCCAAGTAAATTCGCTTTGCCTGTATGTCTGAAGAGGTTGACTTTAAGTTATACTAGTTTACCATGGGAAGACATGGCAAACATTGTAATGTTGCCAAACCTCCAAGAGCTTAAGATTAAATACAATGGATTTGATGGTGATGTATGGAAATTAAATGATGAAGAAGTTTTCAATCAACTTAAGTTTCTCCTAATCAGCGCAATAAATCTGAAGCACTGGGAAGCTAGCAGTGTTAACTTCCCAAGGCTGGAACGCCTAGTTCTGAAAAGATGCTACTACCTGGAGGAAATCCCTCAAGACTTGGGGGAAATTTGTACCTTGGCATCAATAGAGTTGCATGAATGCAGTATTTCCGCTGCAAAATCTGTGAATGAAATTCAAGAAGAGCAAGAGAGCATGGGAAATGATTGCCTTAGTGTCATCACTGATAATTGTCGGTAAGACTCGAACACTCTCAAATTATTGCTCGGAAATCAGTTTAAATTTCGTTCTTTATTTTATGTGCTCCATTTCTTCTCTTCTTTTACATTGCCTCTTGAAATATATTTATAATTTACAAAGTGATGATATTGTTAAAAAATTTAAAGAATATAGTCAAAGAAGTCTGCAACCCACTTATTACATTATGTTGTCTTGTGTTGCCTTAGACATCATTGATCTGGTTCAAGCATCCTTATGAGTTCCTTCTCCTTGCTGCAGCTGGGATTGAATGTTAATTTGAAGAAAGCTGCTCGCGCTAGTCAAGAGAAAATGGTGTGCGTGTATAATTTCGTTATTGGTCTTCTTTCATGGTTTGATGTTTAAACATGGTGTGCATAAATTTCCCCCTTATAGAGGGCGGGAAAAACTCCAGTTTGATGTTTATTCTTTCATGGTTAATTTCAAGAACCCTTCCGTTTGCAGCTCAGATTTTATTAGTCTTCCCACTGGCATATAGTTCTTGTGCAGAAAACCTCAAGAAATCTAAAGGCAAGATTGAGTGAGGTATTCAGTCTAAAGTAGACTATGCTTAATACTGTTCATTGTTGCTGAAAATTGGAACTTGTTTTAGGGTTTTGTGGAATTCTGATACTAGCCATCTATTTGTTACTAAGGTTTAGAAGTCCGAATTCTGATACTGCATTTATCGATAGCCCTATAACTTTTTTCAAACACTTCTTTGGACATTGGAGTAAACGAAAGGTGTACGCAATTTTCTATTTCTTCTTCTACATTCCATGCAATAGTCGATGAGATGAATATAATTACACTGGATCTTTGAACTTCCATTGCTAGGCAATCTTCTTAGTTTTGGAATACGAAAAAAAGTTTCGTTTTAGTCAGGATTTATAGCACTTTTTGCATAATTCAAGGTAAGTAGGAGTGTAGGACTAGGATTCTTCTTAACCAAATTTTGACACAATAACAACTCCTAAATAGGATATTTTACGTCTCCATTACAAATTAGGAATTCGTTAAAGAATACATAATTTCTTTTTTTTTCCTTTCTATTTTGAGAATTGATTGCCCACGCATAATGGGTGCATTAAAAAATATTTATCTCAAAATCGTTACGACACAATTTAAAAATTTCCAGAAATTTTAAAAGTTCATCAAAAAGTTCTTTACTAGAAGTACTCTCCAAAAAATCAACCAAAAAAAACAAAAAAAGAAGGAAGAATAAAAACCATCACTGGAATTATCACAGTACTCTCCCTTGTTTGAGGTAAAACTAAATTCCTTTTATATGGGGAGAAGAGAATATGAATTCTTACAGTTTCGTTGTATCCTATGCAAATTCTAAGCCTCACAGGTAATGATATGATAATTTTTCCATATTGTATAAGATAATGTTTCATACAATGTCTACTGATAATGAATACTATCTACAAGCTACATATTTCTAATTTTAATTTTGCAAGGTTCAACCACCAACACATCATTAACTTCTCGGCCATACTCTTACCTAGCGTTTGGACATAGATATGATTGAAACCCGAAAAAAAAAAATTGAAAGTTGAAATTGTGTAAGACATGCATTTTATTTAAAAAAAAGTTAGAAATTTTGTGAGTGGAAGAAAATGTTTTCTCCAAAACCTGCCCTACACCAGTTTTTGGGAACTTAGAAAAAAAAATCAATCTTTTTTTCAAAATCTGATCATATTCCAGAAACAAACACTGTTGTCAAAAAAATTGAAAAAAAAGAAGCCAAAATCTATGGCCAAACGGGAAATTAAATGCGACAAAAGCTCAAGTTTTTGTTATCTCCTATTAATTGTATATATGAGAAACTTGAAAATGAAACAAAAGGGAAGATTTAAGAGATGGTACTTCTGAACAAGAGTGATTAAAGATTTTTAAACACAGGTCAGGCAAAAGGGAAGAAAAAAAGAATTGTTCACAGCACCTGATTTATCATTTCCATACACAAATCACATTTCAGATTCTGAAATTTCTATTTGATTCAAAAATTTACCAAAACTGAAATGTAACAGTTTTCTTTAAATAAGGGCCATATTTGCAATTTCTACAAAGGTCAACAATACAGTGTTGCAGTTAATAAGTCCCCAAAAATTTCTTAACCCCAATACTAAGATCAATATAACAAAAATAGCCCAAAACTGAGAAGAAAACTAAACATGAAATCACCTACCCCCAAAGGGAAGAACGACGACTCAGGGCAATTTGGTTCAACATTCCTCGGGTTTTAATACAGTCGCCCTAATCGCGTCTGCCAGTAAAACCCGTGCACTCAAAAAGATGCCTGGTTTCTGGGGGCAGCACTCGAACTCAACCTTTCTGTAAAGAGGGGGCGCTTTACAACACTGGAAGATACACAAGAAATGGATGATGAAGGGGGGTCGGATTGAATCGACCAAAGAATCAGCGTGGATGTTATCAACCCACTTAAATGGACGTATAATTGGGATAAAGCTGCAACAAGCTATCTAGAGTTTCAGGTAAGAATTTTCTTGCAAACAAGTAACATGGTCGTTGGTTTCCGTTCCATAAACATGGCCTAATTTGAACTTCCTTCTGCAATAAGGAAAATAACACGGGAATCTATCAGATAATGTAGCTTTCTAGTGAGACAATGCAAGGGAAGTGTTAGAGTAATTATTCTTACCCTTGCGTCACTTGTGACATGCACATTCTCTGAAATAGACTGAAGAAACAGTGAGGAGAAACGTTAAATCGTGTCATGATTGGAAACAAGACTAGAAGTAATAAAAAAAGAATAAGTGGCATAAACGTATGCATGTCGAGGGAAGTTAGTCTTACTGTTATGTTTCTCATAAGATCAGAAGTAATATCTTTGCGCACGTATGATTTTGGGTGCCACTTCCCTTCAGACCAATCAACATGTGTTACTGACCAATTCGCAATTCCAGTTGGGTCAAGCATCTGAAAATTTATAAGAAGAAAACCAGTTAGTTTGGAAATGATCAAAACAGGAAGACTAGAAGACGCGCTGGTGAAGAAAACTACTCACATGGAAAAAGGTTGGTAGATAGTGCTCATCAGAATAGCAGTTCCGATTACCCTCCATGTTTGGCTGTTGCATTATTAGAGGCAAAAGTGCAAGTGATTAATGAAAATGAACCAAATTCACATCTAGACAAACAAACAAAAAAGGCCAGAAGAAAAGAAAGCGGGTAGTGGAGATAATGGTTAACGTAGTCGTAGAGGAATTTTTAAAAGTCTATGGATACAAGCATGTTTTATTGTGCCTGTAGCAATTCCATGATCAAACATTGTTGTAGTTTCCAAATAGCAATACAAATAGAGATTTAAGAAAAAAACTTAAGTGGAAATAAACAAAGAAATAATGCCAGAGAACAATAGTTTTTATGCTTCAATTCAAAGGCATACAGATGCTTTAAATCCAAGGGAAGAGGAGTAATTGGGACTATTTGCGACAGATGAATATAACATAAACCAATAAGCAGACTAATCCCACCTTTGTTATCAACTACACCTCATTCCCAATTACAGTTGGGGCTGGTTATTTGAATACTCTCTGGCATCTGTTACGTTCTATTCAGGTCAAGTCTCACATACAATAAACTTTCAGAAATTTTAATGCTAATTAGTTCTCCAAAACAATCAACAGCGTGGGAAAAAACGATGTAATTAAAACATCAATGCGTAGAGCATTCAACATCGTATACATCAATGAAATAATGCGGTCCAGAAAATAGCTAATAGCGTAAACATATCATCAGACAAAGTATGATAAAGAAAAAAACACACCTTGCAGTAGTCCTTAAATTTTCTATAGTAGAGACTGTCAGCCGTAACTGCAAGGGCATGCTGTCGCTTCATTGTGAACCACTGTAAACATTCAGAATGTAACCTATCAGAACGAGAAATCGTATTCAAATTGGCATATCAGCGCTATTAAGCTATAAGAAGTGCCCACAGCTACTCCTATATTTGGCCACCTAAGATGGCGAAAAGAATTCTGCCTACAGAATACTGCAATTAACCAACTCATGGAACACTTCAAAGATTACAAAACCAAAATATACTTTGCTTTTTGAACAAATTATAAATGAATGGTTAAGCTCTATAATTCGTGAAATAGTACGACCAATGTAATACATAGACAAAATGGAAAGCCTGAGAAGAGAATCTGTTCTCTCTTACTGATCCGATCCTTTATTTTTTAACAACACACTTAATGAAAACCTATAATTACCAAAAACAAGAGTGTTGGAGGGTTAATTGTTTACTTGACAAGCACCAAGCATAGTGTCCAACTCATTCCTCAACAAAAAATAAGAGAGAGAGAGAGAGAGAGAGAGAGAGAGAGAGAGAGAATCAAGAATAACAGCAAATGTTGTGTAAAAGGAACCTGTGCACCCTTTCGAAAATCCTTCTTTTCAACTTCAGGTAACATACGTTCATAATATCTGCCACTTCCATGAGGTCCAGGATCCTCAAAGCTGAGAGAAGAAAGAAAAAGAGCACTCTTTTAAGCCCAAGTAATATAATTTCTAAAGATGATTAGAAATATAAACTATCACGCAGCATCAGAGGAATTAACTTACCAGTCTACAAAACTGATATTTGTATACATCAGGTAGTTGTAAACATAGTCAAAATCACGCAGCGGTACACAACTGCAAGTTGATAAGCTACATGATCAGAAATGATGTAATGGCATAATTGCAAAAATAAAGAGCAAGAGAAATCATCAAATGTCAACCTGTCAGAAAGTAATACAAAATGCTGATTGTCAGTATCTTTTAGTGCGTATGCTAAAAGGCGTCTCTCAGCATTAACCATAGAAATCTTTCCCCACACTACCTGCAGTGCAGAAACGTTTACTCCACAACTCGGCCATATAAATGAAAATGATAAATACCTCTGACTTCAAATGACTAAGATAGCTATAAGTATCTTCGTATTTCTATAAACTATGTTACACGAGCCGCTCATTTGCATCGACATAGCGGCGTCAATTAGGTATCACAGGGGTGCAATACTTCATGACGGTTCTTCAAAATTCACTAAAATTTAGCAAAAAATATGACATACTTGTTCTGAATACATGTACAAACCCATACTTTATACGTGCCCGTAATCGAATTCAAGTAATATAGGTCGATGTTTTAAATTGAAAAAAAGAAAATGAAAAAGACGACACTTGCAGAAAATACAGTAACTATAAACAATACTAATTTGCATTATCAAATAAACATGGCTGATTTGAGCTACTCAACTTAATTCTCAAGGTCTATTCACAACCAAAACCCATGCCACTAAAAAAGGGTAACAGTCAGAGTCATATTGACAAATTGTGCCACTTGCAAAGAAAGGAGGAAGTGGATGATGTAGGCTACACAAAGTTCTAGATCCATTTAAATTCATAAAGAAGATAAGCCTAATCTATTCCAAGAAATTAAAAGAAGCAAACATAGTACGATGGAGCTGATGAGTAATGATGTCGCACGAAGTTGTACATCAACTAGATGCTGCTGCCAATTCTCAATCATTCTTCTCAGACTCTGTGTTAAACTGTTAATCATTTATCACGCAAACAACAGCCTGATCACACAAAAAGCCAGCAGCACAACCTACAGAACTCTTTTCTCATTCAGCTT